TTTTCTCATGTACAGGTATAGTGCAAACAGATTCAGTCCTAGCCTTCCACTTTTAATTTATAATAATTTTCTTTCATGCTTCATCATTTACAGATAACCCATATATTGTCATGCCATTTGAGGATAAGTCTAAGGAAAAAAATATAAGCAACTATAATATTGAAAGTCCATGAAAAAATATACTATTACACCAATATGGAAGGATGCCAGTGCAGAGGTCTGTAATTTAAGTCAGATAACTATTTTGATCATTTAGCCTACAAAAATGAACTATTAACTCCCCTATTTTTTTTAACAGGTTAACTGTACAAGAACAATTCAGAATCCTTATGAGCATACAGATATTTTTGCAGGTATATAATTGTTTGATGTATATGTAATCTGCAATGTTAATAAAAATACTATTTATATATGTACACTTACTATAGGATCTTCACAAATGCTAAATCTGTAACAACAAAAAAATTTTATTCCTATTTTATCAACTAATTTTATTATTTCATACCAATAAACTGAGGATGTATTTCAAGTTCATCAAAATAGTTGAGAACAGTCTCATCGTCTGTGTTTAACTCCCTGAAGAGATTAAGAGATTGTGGGAACTGGTCCTGCGTATAATGAGTTCCAGCAACAATTCTCTCTGGCAGATTTATTATTCTGTTTATAAGGAATTCATCCGATGCAGTCAAAGAAATAACAAATTCTGTGAAGAAGAACATTATCAGCACCCATATATTATTGGTTTTCATCTTTCATACATATTTTGTGTTAAGAATAAATTTTAAACCACAACTGAACATAAATAGATGTGAATTATATATATATGTATCTTTATACATAAATTGTCAAATGCTTATATTCAACTTATCCATTTAGAGCAATCCAACAGTGTTGAGACATGTCTGTAAAGAGGCTACATATTCCAATTTCACCAAATTTTCTCAGCACTGTCAACATGACATTCTTGCAATAAGCATCAGAAAAACCTTAACAGGAGCAATGCAGTGTAGTCCAAATTTTCTGAGAAAGCTATCATACAACCAATACATATAATAAGTATAGGAGGGGAAAAAAATTCTTATGAATGGTGCAGCCAAAGCAGCAAGTTACACTGGAAAAATTAGCAACTCACTTGTTTGTGAAGTCATCAAAAGTCATCACCCTGTATTGTGATTTTTAATCTCACAGTTAAAGGTGTTTCTGCTGAATTAAAGTAATTTTTTTAAAAAAATCTAATAGTACATTAAAGACACTATGCCACCACATGCCATAAAATTTAGTGTCAATGTTATTTTAGTACTATTGGTAGATGAAACCACCAGAAAACTTTCAAGGATCCATAAAAAAAAAAAAAAAATCTTTCTTCTGTCAGAAATCTCGTATCTGTAGTTTCATTAGGCTGAATCTTGCAGTATTTTATTAACCATCCATTTTTACCTTTTAAATATGACTTCATATAATTTATCACCAGATAGTCTGATATTTCTATTAATATTGTTACTCAGTATTACTGCAACCTGTTGATTTAACAAAGCCAGGAAGTAATTTTTCCGGTATCAGACAGAAATTTGTATAACCAAGTAGAGACACAGTGCTCCCTCCCCCCCGCCCCATGAACCCTCAAAAAACAACCCCAAGAAAACATCCCCAAAACAATAAAAATCCTTTTTGGACCATGCTGTTTTCTAAAACAAGTTTTCTCCAAGGCTGAGAAGGTATCTTCCTAGAACTGATCCCATGCCCAAAGTCCTTTTTAAGGGAGAGAAAGTGTTACTTCTCCACCCCATCATAATAATTCATTCATATTTCCTCTTTTGAAATGAAGGCTAAAAGTGGTTTTGTTTATGAATAACAGAAATGTTTTACTTCAGAAATCAGCAATTCATAACTGGTTACAAACTTGGTAGAAGCTTGCTTTTTAAATCAAATGTTTGTTCCCTTCGTGTAAGTGCAAGGACTAAGGAATTTTTGAGAAAGTTCTGAATTTTCTTCTCTTCGACTGAAGCTGGTAAATTATAATTTACTGAAACACTAAGCATTTGATATTCAACCTTTTTACTATCTAACTGTACACATCCTGTAATGCAAAAATATGCCAAATGTATTGTTTGAATGTAATCAAAACTTCCAAAGAAATCAAGAATAGCAAAAACATGAGGATGAAGTCATTTCTACATAGAGGAAAACCACTCTGTTTTAATTCCCAGCTTAACTGATGCATTAAAATTAATTTGGTAACATCTTTCAAGATATCACACTAAAGATAAACTTATGTTTTTTTAATATGCCAAGTTCAGGAGCTCATGTTTATTCCATTAATAGCTGCTGTAATCACAACAAAGGCAGCCACTACTATTGCTATCAGCCAACAGTTGATGGCATTTTCACAAGAAGAAAAAAAAGAAGTATAAAACACCCACAAACTGAACCAAAACCTTCCTTTTGATTGTTCACTTTCAAATAAGAGGGCAGCAGCATTACATGAATTAGATATTTACTTTATGTTAAATTAAATATGAACAGATGGAGCGATATTTTAGACTTCTCGGTGGTGACAGCAGTATTTGAAATCTGCTCTGTTTATTTAAAAATAAATCTATCAAACTTACCAGGTGTGATTAATTCATCACATTTAGGTATTTTGCCTTTTATTTCTTCTTCATCTTCACTTTCCACTAAAACAAAGGTAAGAAATGATTGACATTTTCATTTGAAGCAACAATATCATTATATTTGCTAAAAATGTGCCCAGTACACAGATTTGTCTACATTCAAACTACTAATTGTTGGAAATTAATCTAAACTGGTCACCAGTTTAGAGAATTCATTAAGTAATTCATGCTGCCAGCCACCACAGGATTCTACTATGAGACACTAGTAGCTGTTTGCCTATACAGCAGAGATACGCACATGCATACACAATTTAAAAATGTGTCCAGTTTTAAAACTGCTGTCCTGACCCTGGTCTCTCCTCCTGACAAGTACATTATTCTGCCAAAAACAGAGACAAGGCTCAGAACAGTGAGTAGAAGTGTTTTACAGTAGTATGGTTAAAACGGTTTCTGCCACTAAGTGTCTGCTGTTCTGAATAGTACATAAAACTGCCTGAAGAGCATCATCTGAGCATGCTAGTTTACAGCCCAGCATATTAAACTGAATAAGACAGTGTTTTTTTTTTTTTTCCTTCAAACCTCATGGTGTAATTTACATATGGATATGATTCTTAGTCTTAATGCATGGACAATGCTTGCTCACAGTTTGAAATGTATGTTGCAGAGCTCCTCTGAAGTTATATCTGTTGTAGCTGATCTAATATATCCACTCTAATAGAGCTAACAAAGCATGTATTGGTGCACTGACTGGATCCTCTCAGTAACCAGCCCTTAAATATTATGAAGAAATTCTGCCTTAGAGCTTGCTTGAGTGGAGTAGATCAACACAGAAAAATAAAGCACCCTCTGTATTTGTGCATCTCCTTAATACTTTGCCAGCAAATATAGTCCGAAAATTATCTTGTGCTTGAATTAAATAAGGTGTATTACAATCCTTCTTACATTTTAAGCATCATGTGAAAACAACGTTCATTTGCATCCCGCACTGTAGTCATTACAGTGCTGATGCACTTCAAACAATATGGCACTGAGAACAATAATGATAATGACAATATTGGTAACAATAAAAAAAAAAAAGCAGCAGTACTTACAATGAAAAAGATCTGTTGCCTGCTTGTAGGTCTCTGGGAACCCATCTAAAACATATCCCTGATTCCTACAAGGCATAGATTTGAGCTTATCCTTCACAAGTTTAACAACGTACTGGTCATCTAGACGACCTAAGACACAAAGAAGGTTAATAGGTTTATGGAAAATAAATATCTGAAATTATTTTACTAACATTTGATTTCATTTATCAGAGAAACTTCTATTTAGACCTAAAAAAATATGTATTTTGAGTTACCATTTGTATACTACATGTTGTCAGTGATCTACGGAATATAAATGTGTAGCTATAAAATAAAATTACATTTGTGTTTACAAGGATATGAATATTAGAACTTTAAGGATACTAAACATGAAATTAGTTTACTTTAGAATAATGTGATCAGTTTTTAATAAAAGCAACAAATAAATATTTATAGAAAAAAATGTGACAGCATTTTCTATTTACAATTAACAGTAAGACTTAAAGATAGTCCTGCAAAACAAACGTGAGGGAGGTTTTTGACTTTCATTTTCAGATGAAAAGATTGAGATATGAAGTGGTTTATTAACTTGGCCTACAGTGTTGAGCAAAGATGTGGGACTAAAAAGTTTGATTTGACCTGTTTTTTTGTCCCTTTGCAACTATTGACTCCAGTTTCCTACTTTATTTTGCTTTGGCTTTTGAAAGTCTTAAATATTTATAAACCATTGTAATCATAAAGGTATGTCACTATTTCCAAAGGCATTATTATTATTTTAAACAACAAAGCAAGGCATGTAGAAGAGATGCGGCCATAGATCTCATTACTGAAGCTTTTGGGTACGTTACAAGTTCATTGCTTTGCAGATACACAAGATCCAAATCAGGCAAACCTTTAGTGATAAAATGCAATTTTAAGGGGGATCACTTTATAGTGCATGGAAAATGTTAAGCACTAAGTCAAAAACTACATGACTTTATTCATATGTAGGTGATATTTAGTACCAGTAATGTCAATTTTAATTGACTTTTTCCAATATGCAGACTTTACATTATTTACAGGCTTCAGTAAATACTATTTACCTTTTAGAGATTGCCAAAATGAGGTGCAAGGTACTTAAAAACCTCACAATCTCGTATGACAGTGCACTAATTCTTTTTCTTACTAGAATACTTTTCTTCTTTGCAAAGTTCATGAAAATATGCTTCACTAACTTTTTACTTTATATTATATAATTTATGCTCCCTGTTCTGAGAAGAAAACATGATGTTTTTTAAAAAATCTATTAAAGAATCTAGTGCATCTGAGTATACTGTTTTTACTTATATATCAACTTACAGGGTAAAAAGAATTACATTAAATGTATAAAAAAATAGAAAGATGGAACTTCTGCAATTAAAAAAGCATCACAGTATTTAAAAAATATATCACTTTTAATATACCAGGTATATAATGTATAATGTAAAATATTCATTTTTAAATAAGGCTCATACAAATGGACAGGGCATGATTCTTGCTGTTAATAGGATGTAAAAGTTCAAAAGCACAAATTTATATCTTGATTTTCCATTTGCATAGGGTTGCGCTAGTTACCTAAATCCCATTTTAGTATTCTGTATTTCCTACCTGCATTCTGTTCCATGCTTTCTTTTATTCCGGCTAATAACTCCTGTGCTGCTTTGACATTTTTACCCTCCTCCTCTTCATCATCTTGTCCCTCTTCTCCCACACTGTCAGAGTCTATTTCTTCAGGAGCTACAACTTTCTCCTGAAGACAATATCGGAAATATGAATAGGATCAGAAATTCCATAGCCAAATTTATTTGATGCACAGATGTAATAAAAGGAAAAACAAAATAAACAATTAATTTCATGTGTGCTCCTGGACAGTGAGATACTGAGCAAACTTCAGCCTCTAAAAAGAGTTCAGTTCATCCCCCAGGGATGATCAGTATGTCAAAAGATATTTCCACTCTAAAATAATGGAATTATAACTAATTGGTAAATTATGCCAAACATTTTAAAATAATAGAAATTAAGGTAATAGCAGTATTAGAAAACAGCAACACACCAGATTTGCTATTGTTTCAGAAATCACGTCATTTATCTTAATGTGATGTAGCTTGTAGTGTTTGCAGAGCTCTTCAGCAATGGTAGATTTGCCAACCCCAGGAGGACCATGAATGCAGACTTTGAGCGGCTGGAAAAAAAAAGATAAAGATATAACACTATTCAAACAATAGAGATGTTTTTATGTAACAGGAACAATCTTTTTACTATAACTAGTAGGAAATAACAATTATAATTGAAACTGAAAATATATTTTAGTTTTATTTATTTATGTGTTTATTGTTGAGTATCTCCTGTATCTTCCACAGGCTTAGAGTAAAACAGTTACTTAATTTAAATGTACAACTCTACCACTGGAGAAAAAGCATGCTTCTATTTAGTAGACTCACAGACCAACCTATAGTGGCACTACTAGTGTTTGAATGATCAAGAGAGACAAAACACAGCCCTATAGGTAGGATGCACTGAATTTTGGAATAGAGGTGGCATACATTCTACTATATACATGCAATAGCTTTATTTCCCAACTGAGGTAGAGTTGCTGTGATCACAGTGGTTATTCTCACCTCAAAAATTTCAGATCCATCACATCTTAAGATATTATAAATTTCTCATTTCAGCCTACCTAGCCTGTGGATGAATAAGTGTAATGAAGATGCCAGTATACACTTATTAAATATATTATGCAACAAACTCAAAAACATACATCATTAAATGCCTATCTTAATTCAGTAAATCTGTCAGTGCAAACTCTGCAAATTTAATAGAGTAGTGACAGGGACAGAGGTCTAGCATCCCTCTCCTTGCCACAAGTGAGCCTTCCCTCTCCTTGCCACTTGCTATGTATACATTTTGTACTGATTTTTTTTAATTACATGCATAGGTACTCAGATGCAGTAGTTTAACCCAAACACAGATCTGATAATCCTTTCAGAAGCACCCAGGGGGTTTTAATGAACAACCTAAAACAATAGTAGTTGTATTTTGTTTTACACCTCCTGAACTCCTGTTCAAAGTTTGAACAAAATTTAGACATGCTGAACAGCCTTATCATACCAATCAATATTTGAAAGCATGCAAGCATTTTTATGCACTTTTCAATAACCTTCCCTATACATTTGAATCCAGAAGTTCTATATATTAAGCTAACATAGGAAACAGCAAAGTTACTCGGTACATTACACAATAGAGCAGGGTAAAATGAAAACTGGATTGCAATTGGATATACTAAATATAATGTAACTATATACTAAATAATGAAAGACACAAAATACTCACCTAACTACTGACTATTATAAAAAAGTTTAAATAAAGGATACACTTATAGTGTTCTTGAAGCAAAATATACTGGGAATGTATACTGGGAATATTGTATACAGAAACTAGTTTCAGAACCACACCTTCTCCATCAGTAAGCTCCTTTGCTTTACAGGGTTTCAGTTTTAAGCATGAAAGAAATAAAACTTAATGATTATTGTTTTGATTAATATTCCCTCTTTTTTAACTTCTTCAATTTAATTTTCAGTATTTTTGCTTATTTTGCATCTAGATCAATCTTCCATGTATTTTTACTTAAAGAAATTAAAGCTTGTGCTTATATAACCATTTCTATTGGGGGAAAAAAAAAAAAAAGAACAGAGCACTTTAAAATAGTGTACACTAAACCATTACCAGTAATCCTCGACTTTGCTTGTATTCCTTGACGATTTGTTCAATGTTCTCCACCAGTCCTGACTGAGCAATCCACTTAATGTTGAAAGTCTCATTCAGAAACATAGATTCCATTCGCAGGTTCACAAGCAACATATCCAACTGCATTTGCTGAGGGAACAAAGCTACATTTATTTACAAACTTAAGCTATGCATGCTAGAAGAACACCATTAGCTTAAACTAGAGACCAGAATGGAGGGGTGAAAATAAAAAGAATTAAAGCATAGGGGGAAAAGGTTTGCACACAAAGCAAACCAGACAATTTAAGCTTTTTAAAAATGTAAACATTTTCAATGTATTTTTGTATTTGAGTATTCTCAATGAACTATTAGAACATGAACCATTAAACAATTATTCTGTACAATAAAAAGGTTTCATATAATTGCATGGAAAAACCTCTTTCATAAATTTATCAAGCACCATCTTAAAACTACCAGGGTTGTAATTTGTTTCTTTCTCTTACAAACAGTTTATTCCAGATAAATAGATTAATACAACATAATTTATGTATGCTGCATTCATCAGCCTTAGTTGCATTTCATTATTAACTTTTTTGTTATTTTTATCATTTTTGTATGTTTTATTATAGTGCTCCAGTATGCTCAGTGCAACAGTGACATTGGTGCTTCACTGCTTTTCTAAATCATGTTGTTAGTCCTCAAAATAGTCTGTTCTTTGATGGTTAAATTTTAGTTTGCTTGTTTTCTAAATTTAAACTTAGTGTGAATATATTTTTAGGCATGTTTTAGGGTTAAATTATTTCTGTTGAAATAAAAAAAAAAAGAAATATATTCAATTATATTTCACTTTTAAGTTTACCTCCTTAAGTAATAAAAGGAAAAGGTACTAACTGTTAACTCTTTGCTCAGGAATGCATTTTCTTTTGGAATCTTCTCAATTTTTCCTGGTCCAACATTTTTACTGATACACTATCAAGAAAAAAAAATGCACCTATCAAACCAGATTCTTAGAAAAAAATTGAACCGAACTTCTGTGGATGAAATATGTGCTTTGAATTTTATGTTACACTATACCTGAAAAATCGGTATACTGATCTGAAAGACAGGTCAAAGAACACTATATTAACTTTAATATTAGTATTAAACGCCTTTGTTTTGCTATTTAATTCCTCTTTAGTACTTTCAACAAGAAAACCCCAAACAACCCAAAACCACAGGAAATTGTTCTGAAGTTCTTAAATCATATGTATCTGGGTGTCCTTTAATGCATTTAATTTATTATAATTCCTAATAATGTACCTCGTTATTAGCCAGTGTTATTAGGCATATTGGCCTGTAATTCCCAAAACATTTCAGGAACCTCTCCTTTTTACATTAGCATCACATTTATCATCCTCCAGTCTTCAAGTGTCAGGACAGTGCTAAACAGGAGGTTGTATGCATGCATCAGCAATTCAGAGTTATTTAATCCTTGAGTTACTTCAGACCCCTTCAGTGAATACCATAAGACTCTGGTGGTTCCTTAGTATTCATTTTGTCAGCTCATTCTTATGCTGACAGATTTCATGATCTTTTCTAATCTGTTTTCTTCATCTGGACATAATAATAACTTTTTGAAGTCTGCCATCTTGTTTTTCTCAACAAACAAGCTGATTTTCATTTTTTCAGTTTCCCAAATTTTTCTCAAAAAGTAGCATGCAATGGCCTTATGTGGCTAATAATGTGAGTTCAATAGCCTGTACCCTTCTCCTCTAAGGATTTAATATTTTTAATGTTTTTTGTGTTCATTTTTACATTATGCTCTTTCCTAAGGTTGACCCCAGCGGCAAAAGTTATTTTGACCTTTGCTTCTTCCATAGGAATGTTGACTAATTGCATTATGGTTACTTACACAGAATGGCTCTTCAACTATTAACTTTTCGGTGAAACCCTGTATTTGTACCTGAACCAAAACAAAGGGTGCACCTTCTTGTGAGCTCCCTAACACACTGTTCCATGAAACATTCTTTGACACACACAAAAAAATTGGGCTGTTATGTTTGGTCCTTATGTAACATTTGCTCAATCTACATAAGCAGGTCTTCTGTTATATCGTATTAGTTGACTCTCACTATCAGTGCAGTTCAACAGTGTTGTCCAGACTATTTCTAGACTTAATTTCAAAATGCTTGGAAAAAAAAGATATCTTCCAACAAAATGAAGGGAAAAACATCTTAAAGACTTTGAGTATCTAATTACACAACCGTGATACCCTTAACAGTTCACCAGAACTTTCTTAGGTAAAATTGCTACTTAATGATAATACTGCAAAAGTTAGTTCTGCAAAATCAGGCCCAAGTGATTTGTTCAAGGGACAGAAGTCTTGGAAGATTTCAAAATAATTTTCTATGTCATTTACTACACAGGATAATTCAGGAAGACCTAGAAACTGCTACTTCAGCAAAGTGTATAGTTTTTAAAACCTTAAAGATATCTGGGGGAAAAAAAAGAATAAAATCTCTTACCTTTATTAATTCTTGAAGTGTGTGCATAGATCCATCTACTGCAAGTATATAGTGAGACTTTGGCCTGTGGTCTGCTACATTTTGTAACACTCTGAAACATAGCAAGTACAGTCAGGGCTGGCAGTTAGAGAAGCATACTGGGCTTTTATTGTTAAATGCATTTTGGTAACAGTACAAAGAGTTTGTAAAATCTTGCAGAACTTTTCAGAGCGTGACATTTTCATATATGTTTTCCTTAATAAAGAAGCACAGATAGATGTTTTATTTGGAAAGAAGTTCAAAGGATAAAAAGCAAAATCTGCAGAAGATATTAACTTAGCTTGCTGTAGAGTCCACGATCCATTTATAGTTCTGTGGCAGTTAAATTGTATCACACTGTAGGTCGAGCACTACTAGTAATTTCTTTAAAGCATAGCACCAGTGCAACAGTCAGATAAGGTTTCCAGAAGGCCTATCTAGTACTGAAGAAATGGGAGTCTCTGACTCAGTAAAAAGGGCCAAAGAATGTTCCTAAACCCACCCAACACAATTTAAAAGCCTCAGTACTCTCTAGTAGTTTTGTATTTGTTATCTAGCTACATATCAACTATTGTCCAGGGGAAACTTTTTTTTACTTACGCTGCTAAATCAAGAATATGAATGGTTGGAATAAAATTGTTTCCATCTCCAAAAACAGGTATTGCAGGAATCTCACTAAGCCAACCTATCTGAAAACACAAATGGAAAATGGAGGAGAAGAAGATTACTTTTAACTAGAGCTAAAAAAGGACCATTTGTTTACTAGGCTAATCTATATATTCAGGATTTAATGTTCAATTTCTTGAATGATTAATGGAACTGCAGTAATGGAAACAATTCTTGAGAAATACTAACTGGCAGCCTACGAAACCTAAGAAACCCTTGGGTTTTTTTAAAGAACATTCTTTGATCTTGGCAAATGTTATTTTGTACGCCAAATAAAATAAATGCTTGGGAAAAAAAGAGAATATAATGTTGAGAATAAATATATTTTCCTGATTCCATTGATACGCCAGATATGTTCTCACTGTAAAGTACATATGGAGATACTGTTTAAAAACTATGGAAAAAATAAAAAACATAGAGAGCCAAAAAAGTGTAAAACTTTTCCACTGTAGCTAAAACATTTCAAAGGGATCAAATAATCAGTTTTGTTCACAAAAGCATTAAGGTTATCATACCAAAGCTACTAAAAATGCATTCAATTCCAGTGTGGTTTTCCCCCAGAAATTACATGTCCCTTCAGAAATAGTTGGATGCCTACCTTAAAAAAGTAGTGCAAAAGTCCTTCCCCAGCTCCATATTGATGTCCTGAGGCAACAACGTAAGTTGAAAATTTGTGTTTGTTCTGTGAAGTAAGATCGAGAAGAAAGTTTTGATAAAATTATGGTACTGCAAATGGGACACTGCCTTACCCTGAAACTTGAGTAGTTGTGTACTAAATATACCAAGTGGGTAAATTATATCACTTAAAATTTGTAGCTAAATCAATTGTTGCTTATCTTGGTAGTTTCATAAGTCATATTGCTAATATTTCCTTCAAAAAAACCATTGCTCAATAAGAATTGACGTGTCCACTTTTGAACTGAAATTCTAAAAGCATTTCAAGAGTTAAAAAAGTAGAAGCAAGTTATGTAAATCAATAAAGTGAACAGGATAACTCATGTTTCAACTTTCTATTTCCAAGAAAAGTAACTCTGAAAGCTATTTTTTAATGGCACTATATTTACATTTGACTGCCTAAAGAAGTGGGAAGTAGTAGATCAATAATTTTACAATAGCTTTACTTCCATTTTGACATACAATTTAAAAAAAAAAAAAAAAGCATAAAATCCATGAACTACATAAGTGTTTTCCTAACCATACAGCACCATCAACTCACACTTTTTTGCTGACCATTATTGCATAATGTCATAAAATTGCCTGTCCTGGCTGCCTGAGTATGTAAAATGTTACTGCTTGGAGGAGTGTTGAGGATAGTATACAGAGAGAAAGAAAGATTTTTAAATCGTCTTACAGATAAAAACTTTAAAGTAAATCTTTTAAATTAGGACCAGTTAGTTTGAAATTTTTAAGGTGAAACAAAATTGTTACATAATTCTCATGTTGTAAAGATTCTACACGTTATATATCTATATAACACTGTGTAAAAGAACCTGCATTTGCCAGCAGAGGGAATAAATGCCCAGATTTGGGATCTACCTTCTTTGTGAAAAAAATGAGTCTTTTGTTATCATCTTTATAATATTTCAGAAACATAAAACTAAGAACACTGTTAGCCAGTCTTTGATTGTATAAGCAAGGCATCATATAAAGGGATGAGAAATCATAACATCAGTGTATGTATTTTTATTTATCTACTTACAAAATAAAACTTTGTAATAAGAACTATCTCTATGCAACAGCTTTGTAGTAATCGTGAGAAACATTAAAACTAGAAGTCATTACAGATAGCATAAGAGCTCCCACACTTAGTTTGCTTGGGTAGTACCATGAGAGATGCTGTTTGTACCCCAACAGCAGTAGCTCCCAGGGTTGCTCAGGGCAGAATGCAAACATGCCCCAGGAGAAGACATGCTGTAATTTCCATCTCCCAGCAGGAAAAACCTGCCTCTTGTGAAAGCACAGGAGGTGCTGTTTCTCAGGTCCCTTAAGAAGAATGTGACACATAGGATTTTCTGCAATTTACCTGGCAGCAGTTTCTGCAGGAGCCACTTGTGGAGACTAACAGTTTGGCACTGAGTGCTATGTTTCACTGAAATACAAACCTCTGAAACAGGTTCAGGTCTTCTAGAAATATCTAGTTAGTGTCACAAGTCGCGCATATGAGAAGGTACTACTTGAGATGACTTGGATATACTTAATTTAAAAAATAAGGCAATTATTAGGCAAGCATGTTTAGACATGGTAAAGACCGCCACGTTCCTGTGTAATATGCCATTAAAACCACTAGGTGTCACATTCTAGCTATTATAATCAGCTCTAGGCTCTGGTTATTTTATGTTTGTTTGTTCTAATAAAATGCCTGAAGTGGGAAACTGGTCTAAATTAATGCATTCAGGAACTGTAACGTCACTAAGAACAGAGCTGGGAGATGAAAAGCTCTTCTGTCTGTGGTAGGCAAGGTGTTTCTCTGAGGATTCTGACCGAATTTGGCAGGGCCGGAAAGTCAGTAATTTATCTCTGACAAAAGCTACACAGCTTGCATGCCCTGCCACAAAGGTAAAGGCAAAAAATTCTAGTTGTAAAAAGCAAAGACTTCTAGCTCACAACTCTTGCTTAATTTTAAGCAAAATATAGGTGGGAGATACACTATCTCAGAGGGGTGAATTCTTGCTTTAAGTAACAACAGCCATTAAATTTCTCTCTGAACAGATACCAAGGCTAAGAAACCCTTCTATTCTTAGGTGCAAGATCTTCTCTATAGGCCTGATATGGCTGCTGAATCCTAGTATCTCCTGATGAGTTTTTTGCATGCGAGTGGTAACGCTCATTTCTTTCACAGATGGCACATTGCCAGCTGCCACTGAATTTAGAAATTAGTAAAAACTGTAATCCAGAAGTCTCCAGCCGTCACAGGAAGCTAATGTTGATCTGCTGGGAAGAACAGATGCTTTGGAGCCTTCCTGTTCCAAAGTGCTGGCAGAAACTAAACAGGGTCAATGATACCCACTGATGCTGCCCCTGGAGTTCTGGAGGAAAAGGACTCCTTTTGAAAGGCCCGCAAGAAGTATACATTGAAAATACTCCAGTTACCTTATCGTGTACTACTACATATAGTTCCACTATCTTCTCAACAGACATTCAGGCTGGCAAACATTTGGAAGCTAATTATATGAATACCTTTGTTTCATAGTGACTCGGTGCTTTGGACTAGTCAGAAAGATTGAGTCAATTGTTCATCTGGGTGTTACTGGTGGCAGAAGTTATTACTAGGTCTGGTGGACAATGTTTACAGCCTTCATGTTTCTAAATCACAAGTATGAAAACTATTCCATAGCCTTATAACTCCATGTTAGCACAGTAAAAGTAAGAACAATTTACCCCTCATATTTCAAGCTGTAAACCAAATTTTACTGGCATTCTCTACTACTAAACCCATGTTACAATATACTTTCTAGTGCTATTTTCTCAGCAGGGCATAAGATGACAAGTGTATACTCAAATCAGAGCAAAGGTTTTTTCTCCAACTATAATTAGCCAGATACATTTCTGCAATAGACACTAAATTATATTTATTACAGAGACCGCTGATGCACAAAGAGAATGCCCAAATGACACCATCATAGAGTGTATTTCATTGTCTTCTAGTTCTCTTTCCTAACCTCCATCTACTCCATCTCTAATGACAACAGTGTCAATTTTCCTGAGTTGTGAAGCACAATCTGAGCCACTGTTGATATTTATTTAATAATAGCTCTTAAATACAGAGAGAGGCATGGTATGTTCTCTAGTAAGATTAACAGTCTAATCAGGTCAAAACAATCAAAGCTGAAATGAGTGATTTTAAAAACACATGTAAAGTGATAACGTATATTCTAGTCATTCTGGGTCAGCTCTATGGCCATGATTTTAAAGGGAATTATAAGGTGGAATAAAAGTCAACAAGCCCTCTGCTCCAAGAGTACAAACTATCCAGAAACATGCTAGGTGTGGCCAGAACATCTTCTAAGTATTTAAATGAGACATAATATTAACATAGATTGCTAATATTTAAAGATGCCGCTTTTCTTTAAAACTATACCGATATCCCTTTCCTCTACATTCTTTCATCCTCAAGTTTTTCCCCACACAGGCCCCAGCTTTAATTCTCTCTCATACAACCAATGAAAAAATACATATTTAAAATGGGATTTACTCACTACCTAAGGAAAAAAGACAAAATTTGGGATTTGTATTATGCAGACATTTATGCTTCAAAAGACATTATCATATTCTCTATACTTGACATTTTATTAATAATTGATGTTATTAATATTTATCAATTTTACTCAAATTGTTGGCAATTTCCATTACTAAGATAATGCTCTAAGTAAGAAGACCAAGCAACCTATTTTTCTAAAAAAGTTCTTTACATACAGTTTTCCCAAGTTTGATAATGAGTTTTTCAGCATTTATATGATCAATAAAGTTAGGATGAGATTTTCTTCTGCGATAATCTTCATCAGTAAAAGGAATCTCAGGATCTTCCTACAAAGGAAAAAATGTGGCTGTTATACATGTCTTAAAACAGACCAATTTTTAAAGACCCAGATTGCTAAATTCTTAAAAGTATTTTAAACATCTCTCTTGTTTTCATTTGAAATTCCTAAGCCTTCTGGTTCCAATACTTGAGGTTCAACATTTTTAAAATGTCAGCAGTTCAATTTCAATTTTTACAGCAGATTTTAAACTTTTTAAGTTTTAAAAACATTAATTTTTATTATATATAGCATTACAGAAGCTTGAAAAACTCTGTGAACTGCTACAGACAATATTCATGTGCACAATTTCCATAAAACTAAATTTGAGAATTGCAATAGCATACTACAAAGTGCCCTACATGGTTCCTGACAATACCTAACATATATAAAGATGTATCTGTTTATCTGTCTATACATTGATTTAAATACGTATTTAATTAAATATATAGTAAATATGGGATTTTTTTATTAACTGAAGGACAGTGCATATTATGGTTAGCATAGGTCTTACCTCTTGTCCAAGCAGTCCCTAATGTCTGCATGTATCACTGTAGCCCAGTGCCTAAACTTCCCTGTTCAGTGGAATAAATTTATCAACTTTGGCAGTAAGTAGAGGTTCAGGGTGAAAGGATCATGAGAAAAAAACCCACGCTTGCTGACACTAACTTTATTAGCTATTGCTGAAGCACATACTGAAATACTTTGTTTTGTAAATGGAAATACTCAGTTTTTTTAAAAAAGCGTTTTCCTATTACTTACAGGGAGTTTGCTTTTTGCCCAGGTCATTATTGTTGAAATGAGGATGAATAACTTTGGTGTTGCAAAATGCTCTATTTCCATATGTAGGGCTGTTAAATGAAAGCAAAGGATTGAGTTTATTGTAAACTGTATTACACAAACTGTATTTTTGCTTTTATATAAAGGTCCTATATAGACTTTTATACCATAATGTTCACTGTGATATATATTTTTAAGCAAATACTCTTTATTTGGGCTGGTATAAAATAAAGATAATAAATCAAGAAAGAAAACAAATAGACAAGTAATGGTAATAAAGAATCAATTTACTGGGAATCAACATAATCTACACAGAGCTACCTATTTTGGGGAAAAGAAAAAGAAACAACCTATACTGGGAAATGATTAATCTTTATTGACTGATGAGATCCTCAAAGAAAATAAAAATGTGTTTTTTTCATGATTGAAACAGAAAACCTGCAGAATTCAAGTAAAGCTTCTTATTTTAATTTAGAGCAAAATAATTAAATGTGGATTATATTTTGTTGAGTCCTCTAAATCTTAAGGCATTATACAAGTATTTATACTGTAAACCAGAAAGCATAATTTAGTACAACTATTGTATAAAGAATAATATTGCACTTCACCATAAAAAGATTCCAGATGCCCATTAGAATTTGGATACAACAATCAGGAGAAAGTTTTAGAAAGACTGTTAGCAAGTGTTCTTTATTGGACTTTTAAGTCAAAATATATTTAAAATATTGAAACATTATTTGAATATCACAGGAGCAAATTTTCTACCCACCTCCCAGTGCAAATAGTTAACAGCTATTTAGGGAAACAGCTGCCTACACATATGTCATTTAAAGTGTTGGACCATTTTTTGACAGCTTCTTTAGCTTATGAATGCTGGAGTGCATCCCACAGTCCCTTGCTAATTAATTGAACAATTCATGCAGCATTTCTCCATCAAGAAAATCAGTTTTATATTACAGTAAACTATAAATCCCAGATAATTTCATTATACATTTATGGCAAATTTTGATGGCTGTATAGCAACGAGTTTTCTGTTCAGTTGATAGCTATACTAACCGGATGCAGCCCATGTTGCTTCCTCAATTTGATTTGTATCCTCAGTGATATTATAGAAAACAATCTCACACTCAAGCAAGTGACTTAAGAGCTCTTCTCGAGAAGAGACCTGGGGAAAAAAATAGAATCTGACATTTAAAAAGTAAAACAAAGATGAAAAAAAAAATCCAAAATTCATTTTCTTTTCAAGTTTAACTTACTGATAGAATTTAGTTTTCTAATACTAGAATATTAGAATAATTCATAAGACTGATATGAAACTTTATGTCAGATACAAGGTGATGAAATGTAAATTAAATGCTGAAACATCTAATTTACAGTACACATTAATATAGTCAAAAAAGATGAACTATTTTTAGTGGTATTTTAGGATTCATATTTTCGGTGCAATTGTGAGTATCAAAAACCTATCTATGACTTTTATAGGTATTTTAAACAAGGATCAGCTGTCAGAATGGAAAAGACATAATAAAATGTCAATTTCCTTGCAAAATAGCAACTTGCCATTTTTGTTAAATGCAGATTGACTGCATCAACGGAGCAAGTCCAACAACTCTTGCCAACTTTGGGCAAGAGCAGTGACTAAGATTAAATACTGCCAGCCATAATTTTCTGATTGAACAGCTCAGCTGTATAGACGTTTAAATCAAAATTTTCAAATGGTTGAAGAAATCCTGGATAATCAATTTGAGACAGAGGCAATTTTAGTTTCAGGAAACTAAATCAAGCAATAAGCAATCACATTCTTAAAAGCAAGCCTCCTGTAGTTAACTAAACTCTGGACATGTGGATCATCAGGATAGATGGTGTCCTGTCCATAACTACCATTTTTTTAAAAAATCTATTTTGAGTCTGAGTTCCTTCCTTTTACTGTTTGCTGTATCAGACCTAGCAGGGAGGAGACAGCACTGTGCAGGAAGTAGAAGGGATAAAATAAATGTATACGGCTTCCAGCAGCAACAAAAGGCCATTTTATTAATGCAGGTCATTTTGCATGACTTGCAGTATTTCTAACATTGTCTAATGGCAATCTGAAATGAGACTCTTACTCACTGCATAGGTTTCCTCTGCAAAATACGGTTTAGTACTCTCTGGTTTGGAAAGGGTACCCACTATTTGGTAGACTGCCTCTTTTGGCCTACTAGAAACTTCAGCAACTGAACTATTTTCATCTTCTTTCTCCTCTTCTTCTTCTTCTCCTCCTGTGCTTTCAAGTGATGCCCCAACAACACATCCGGATAAATACTGCAATATACAAGACACATATTTGTATGCAAATACATATTGAATCCTACACAGCTTCTCATGATCTTGGGGAGACACCAACACGCTATGGAATAGCCCTGATCCTGTTGCAGTTAGTGTAGCTCAGAACACAACTTTCCATTGAACAGGAAAATGTTACGGACTCCTCAACCTCAGTTGTAACGGTTTGTCTTGTGTGCTGTGCCTCAAAGACCAAGGTGCTGGTGAGTCCCTAGATGCCTATTCTCTGCAACTGAGCTCCTCTGGGCAGGTGTTACCTCAGGGAGATGTTCTCTCTCCACACCGATCAGCAGTTGCCTGAGGTATCCCCACTTGCTTTATCCACACCTCCAGCTCCCAACTCGTATTGTTTGCTCCTTAATATCTTAACCTCTCCTTGCCCCCAGTCCCTCTCCTCAGCAGCTATTTGAGGTGACCCCAGTTCCCTGGCTGTCTTCCCGCCCGGCCGAGCTCCTCGGAGGCCGGCGCCGGCTCCGGCCGAGGCCCAGGCGGGTGCTCC